AGAAGTGTAGAAGCAATTAAAGAAAATAACGAAAACGGAACTACAATATATTCCGATTCGTGAAAATCATATTGCACTGAAAAACGAGAAGAGGAAAGTTTCGAACATTTCAAAGTCAACCATAAATATTATTTTGTCAATCCGGAAACAGGCAACCCCCCCCCCCCCCCCCCCCCCCCCCCCCCCCCCCCCCCCCCCCCCCGCCCCCCCCCCCCCCCCTCTCCAAGGCCCACGTAAAAAAGGGAAACAATGCGGGGTAACTTCAAATAGTGAAATAAGAAACACAGAGAAACGGCATGTCATCCTCTCGCGGAACTTATTTGGTGTGTGTGTGTGTGTGTGATTATAACAAAGCACACTAGGGCTATCTGCTTAAGGGAAGGGATGTCTTCGTGGAGGACTTTCTAAGGGAACTGACTCGTATACACGTTACACATGGGGAAAACCACGAAAACGCCCATGCAGCCATTTGCGGGATTTGAACCTTGGTAAACTATCTGGAGAAGGGAAACAAAAGACCCATTTTGAACGATATTAAAATGTTTTTATCTCCAAAGAACAACGTTCTTAGAACTAACATTTCTTAACATTTTTTGTGTGTGTACTGCATGTTGTCGCCAATAAAGTCTATGTTGGTGAGATTTACGCCGCCGAAATGGAAAAGTACCAAACTAAGATTTCTTGACACTTAGATGGTTTTAATAACTGGATCAAAAAGATGGTAATTCTTACACTCTTTCTCATACACAACAAATATCATCTTGCGATTGAGTGCTAGTTTGTTTCGAGGGATATCGGGCTCGGGCATGTAGACGTCTAAACCAAAAACGTTTAAATGCTTAATTAAAGCAAGTTTTACCGTCCATAACTAATATGGAGCTACACCTGGAGCTTGAGTTGTAGGAACTCTATCCAAAATATAAACTGCTATATTCACAGCTTCTGTCCACAGATACAAAGGCAATGCTTTGGAATACATCATACATTTTTACTTTTCGTAATTGTACTCATGTCCGTTTCAGATCTTCCATTTTGCTATGGAGTATAAAGAGTTACTGTTTCTAAATGAATATCTATTTCGTTTAGAAATTCACTGAAATGCAAATTAATATATGCGGTTCCGTTGTTAAATCTAAATGCTTTAACTTGATGAATAAATTTATTTTTACATAGATGGACAAAAGTTTTAAATGATTCGGTACTTTTCCGTTTCGCCGGCGCATATCTCGCCAAGCAGACTTTATTGGCGACAACACACAGTACACATAAAAAATGTTAACAATATTAATCTTGGAATTTTTATTTTGAAGGATAACATTTAATATCGTTTGAAATTTTATAAAAAGACATAAATAAAGCGATAAATTTGTAAAAAGACATTAATTAAAGAATCCTATGCTTTTTTATTGTACGACATCTTGATTGCCGTTTCATATCACGGACCCCAAGTGATCTCTTCTCACGTAGACTACGCTACAAAAATCTAATTCTTTCATAATTATCTACTTTAATTTTAAGTTAAATCTTAATTGAAATACAAGTTTAAATGCAAGAATTATTTCAATTCCTATGAATACTTACTCAGAAATGTGAAAAACCGCAGTGTTTTACTTCGCTAGTGCAGTGTCATTAGAATTGATGAATTTAACCCTTTGCTTTTCTATATTTTCGGATGAGCAGTAATTGCATCCTAATTGACTTAATTACTGCGAAGGCCTTAGGGCATAAAAGTTAACTATGTGGTAAAAATTCTATGTAATTGTATGCAGTATTGAATAAACAATAAATCTGGTAAGAATGGCTGCGACTTGTTTTGAAAACGAGGCGTAAAAGGTTACCAGCGAGGATATTCCGTTTGGCATCGGTTGTACTATTTTTGGCGACTTTATCATTTGCGCCGGCAAAATGGAAAAGTACCAATGATTCTAATGCATCACTTCTGTTTTTGAGAAAAATCAGCTTTCATTAATATGAAGCAATTTTCTCCATTTTGACTGTGGTTAACTAGGACCCCAAATGTCACTATTAATTCCATTGGTTTAGTAGCCTTATACTCTTTGGAAGTAAAGGGAAATCTATGTTGCTTACTGGTAATCTTCGCAAAAGAATTCATTTTTGTTTGACGCATCTACCTTTCAATCAGACCTTTATCACTGAATTCTCAAAGAGTTTCAATTTTATATATCCTGTTCTTTCATGCCATATTCTTAGATTATCCTTGAAAGAAATGTTCGTTTCAGTAAAATGATAGTTTTAAAAAGCACGTAATACAGATTATTTGCAGAGTGTACTAGTGAGCCACCTAACTCATTTTCACACCTGTATATATCAGCATAATCTTGCATTTTTAATAGCTTTATTCCTTTAGCTGTAATAACTTCTTCAGAAAGATTTTTCTAGAAATCTGGAACTTACAAAATATTACATATTTTTTCTTCTTGCCATTTATCATGAATTAGTGTCTGGGTTTTTACATCCCTATTTCTTGTAATGGGTAATTCTAGTTTGTTGCCAAGACGGATAGTTTCATTTTCACCTGTTTCATTGAAGATGTCAAAGTAACTGAGATTGTACGTTGTATGAGCAAATGCTCCATTGTCCAAGATCCACTGTTTATCGCTTTTTCTTACACTTTTCTCTCTTTTGCTGCTAAATGCATTGTAATTTGTTATAATGGTACTTTTCCGTTTCGCCGGCGCAAATCTCGCCAAGCAGACTTTGTTGGCGACAACATACAGTATACACATAAAAAATGTTAATTCTAAGAATTTTTTTTTATTTTGAAGGCATAAACATTTTAATACAGTTTAAAATTTTGTAAAAAGCAATAAATAAAGACAATAAATTTGTAAAAAAGACGTTAATTTAAGAATTTACTACGCTTTTCATGGTTCAACATCCTGATTTCGCTGGTTCATATCACGTAGTCCCCAAGTGATCTCATCTCACGTAAACTACCGCTACTAAAATCTAATTCGCTCAGTAATTATCTACATTAATTTCAAGTTAAATCTTAATTTGGAATACAAGTTTAAATGCAAGAATTATTTCAATTCGTACGAATAGCTTACTCAGAAATTATGTAAAACCGCAGTGCTTTACTTCGCTAGTGCATTCTCATTAGAATTGATGAATTTAACACTTGATTTCGCCTTCGGATGAGCGGTGTAATTGCGTTCTAATTGACTTAGAACTAACTGACTTATTACCGTGAATTGTCTTAGGGGATAAAATTTAAATATCGTGTAAAAATTCTATATTATTGTATGCCAGTATTGAAAGAAACAATCTGATAAGAAATGGCTTCAACTTGTTTTGAAACTGAGGCGTAAAAGGTTACCAGCGAAGATATTTCGTCTGGCATCAGTTAAACCATTATTGGCGACTTTATCGTTTGCGCCGGCAAAACGGAAAAGTACAGTTATAATTCTTTCTGGAATACCAATTTATTTCCCACATAGCTCGGAACGACATTCTCTAGCATAACACCCTTTCTTACGGCAGATCTAACATATTATTTTGATTTTATCTACTTTCCGTTATTAGTTTTAAATCTGTTGTCGCTTACTAAATCTCGCGCATATTCCATTTCTTTTTTACTTAAATTTATTGCGATTAGGAGCGAAAAATGCAGACTCACTTTTCTCAGATTGCGAGAAAGAAGTTTATTCAATGATGAGTCTATGTTCAGATTTGATAAGTTTATTTTACTGTCATCAACAGATAACCAGGCTTAGCTGAAATTACTGCATTTAAGAGATAATTTTCCTAGAATTTTCGTAATTATATTTGCATCGCTATTGCTTTCGCCATCATCTTTGATTTGATGAGAAAGTATTTAAGTTTTTGCAAAGTGTTGGATTATTGTTTCACTGCATTCCATTTTTAACTGATGAAATTTATCAAGCAGCAACATTTTGTTAAAGTCATATTTCAGTTTAATAATAGAGTTTAAAGATTTTTTTAACATTTCATTTGATTAAATATAATTCTGTATAAGCGTAACTTGTGAAAATTCCATCGCAGACGGTATTATAAACTTTGCAACTGCGTGCAACCTTTTTCCCATTTTGCTGTTTCCACTTCATAATTTTCTGGCTTTTCCTTAATTCAATTGGTGATAGAAAATACACCTTTTGTCTTGAGAGCACAAGCAATTTAAAATTCCCATTGTAATTAATATTGTCCGTTAAATTTGTTTATAGATGACACATCTGCACTTTCTTTTTCAGAATTCTAAACTGAGAATATAAAGGAAAAACTTAGGTTCGTAAATCGTTACTTTGTTTTAAATTCGTCCATAACATTACAGGTTTAAATACCTTTATTTAAGCTTAAAATGGAATGAAAATAATAACAAAATCACAGGCGACAAAACCACTGAAATTCAATCATAGAATATAAACACAGGTATATAATAGAGTTGCCAAAAAATACAAAGAAAGTATGACAATGGAATAACGGATTTAAAATTTCTGTCTTTCTTCACGATAAACATATTTTTGTTTCTAGATTAACTGTCTGTATCTTTTAATTTTAAATTATATGTTTCTTGCGCAAACATGATTTTTGCGTTTCTCTTGAAGCAATTGTGCTATTATAAATAGTACTAATTTAAATCTAATATTGATAGAAATCTAATAATTATTACGATTATTAATACTCAATTAAATTTGGAAAAATTTTTGTAGTACTTTTTAAAAAGAGGAAAGTCTGTTACACGAATAATTTTAACAATAAATAAACTTGTGTCACTGGAGCAGACAAGCCACTTTGGTTTAAATGGCATAACAAATGCCGTAGAAAGCACGATATATTTCCGTAATTTTTTTTTATATTATTATGAAAATGAGAAAAAATCGTGAACTATTTTAAAATTTATAGATTGGGAAATAGCAATGCACCTATTCTTTTGCACAGCCCCGAGTAAATATATTTTATATGTAAGAAGAAATGCAACTCAACCCTTTTGTTTTTCAGAATTTCTAGGCATGGTACGCGAAACTTTAAACATAATGTGAAAGCTAGTTAAAAATAATTCTCTTTCACCCAAAACTAAAAAATCAGTGATTATTTGATTATGCTTCTCAATCTAATATAGTATTTAAATTTAAAAAACCAATTAACTTTATTCTACTTTGTTTTTTATCTGACGGTAACTAGTTATATAATATGTTATTCTTCTTGATTACATTTAAATTTTGGGTTATATATAAAAGTTCAGAGTTTTAAGGCATTTTAATTGCTTTAAAGGGCTATAAATTTGATTAGATTTATTCTGAAATAGTCATTTGGTTGATAAGATTTGATTATTTATTTACATGAAATCAGTGTTATATCTGATAATTTTACAAATGCTTTTCAGTTGTTATTCAGAGATGCACATGATATATCTTTACATGTATACATTAAAAAGGCATAAATGTGGGAAATCTAGTAGTATCAAATAATATACTATTTATTGAAAATTAGGTTTTAAAGAGACTTAAAATATTTTCTGTGATTTATTTTGCTATTTTTTTATTTAATGTAATAAATTATCGAAATTTTGAAAAGTATTTTGTTAATAGTTCATAAAGCCATTTTATGAATGAATTAAATAAAAAGTAATCATTATGATTTGTATTCAGAAAATTTGAAATAGATGTCCTGAATTCCTGTTACGACAAGTTTTAACCTGCTTAATATCTTCATTCAAGTGTTTGCGCATTATCCAAAATCTTGGTGTGAAGTCCTTTTAATTATTGATTAGTATCAAATATGCAATCTAGCATTACAGTTAGGGATAATTTCGGATTATCTGCACCCCACCGAAAATTTGCAAACTTTTTGCTGACTTTTTGAGAGAAATGGATACTTTTCTATGATTCATCTGCCACACTTTTTGCACATGTGAAGGAGAAGCCAACATTAAAAAACTCTACCAAAATGCATGGGAGGAGCCTAACAGAAAAGTACCGAAGAATGTTTTATTTGGTTATTTTTATGTCTGTTTCAACAATGCATCCAGGTTTGCCTATTTTGTTTTTTTTACACTCATTAAAGAAATAAAATGCTTATCTTTCTTCAGAAAGCGGTTTTTAATTTTCATCATTCTGTATGCAATGATCTCTTTTCACTTAAAAAGACTGAGAGAATTACATAAATACAGTGGATGGACAAAAATATGGAAACACCTTGTGAAATGCATGTTTGAAAAGAAAGATTGATTTTAATGATTTTAGGTGGTTCTGGCGTTTTTGACTACTGATCCACCTATACCACTTCGTAAACGTGCTAAACAGTTCAGTTGTTGTCGGAGTCGTTATGTGAGTTGTCATTGCATTATTCAGAGTTAACATACTTCGAACGTGGGCAAATTGTTGAGCACATATGGTAGGTGCTCCGTAAGCAAGGTAGCCGAGGTGTTTAGTGGTTCAGAGGTACTGTATCAAGATTTATTCCGCATCTTTGAAAGCGGAAAAAAAGCATCTGCTAATCACAGCGCTGACGAAAGTGTTCCTCAGTGATCGTGCAGCTATCATAAGGGCAATTATACAAAATAAGAAGACCCACTGCAAAAGTTACTGCTTAATAATGTTGTTATCGAACCCTGTGAGACAAACAATAGAAAGGAGCTTCATAAACAGGAATTGCTGCCGTGCGGCATCGAGAACCACTCATCAGTAATGCTATGCCGTAACGGAAAAGGTGGTCTAAAATCATAAACCCTGGCCTATAATCATGTAGCGGTATAGGGTCTGACGATTCTCTTTCACATTGTTTCCCCACTTCTGGCCGAGTTTACGTCTGGAGAACCATCTAAGCCTATAAGAAGACTGCTTGTTGTCAAGTGAACATGGCGGGGGGTTCTGTTATGGTGGGCAGCCAATCGTGTTTCTCTGCTAGCCCCATATAACTGTGCCAGGGCACAGACTGCCTGACTTATTGAACATTTTTGCTGATAAGTTCATCCATGGACACTTTTGTTTCCCCGATGTGATGTGTCTTCCACGGACACAAAGCCTTTGTTCACACAGCTCAACATTGTCAGGACTGTTTTCTGAGCACGAGGATGAGTTGTCCCATCTCCCCTGCCACCACAGCACCAGACCTGAATATTAATCGAACCTTTGTGTCTACATTGGAACGAAAGGCGTTTCTCGTTATCCACCGCCACATCGTATCTGAACTTTTGCCACGTTTTTGCATGAAGAATGGTATAATATTCCCTTGCAAATACAGGAACGTATTTATCCTTCCCGAGCTGCAAGCTGTTTTGATCAACGGTATCCACAACCATATTGGCAAAGAAACTGTTTTTAAAGGTGTTTCCATATTTTTGTCCAACCCCTGTATCTGTAAACAATCTATTTTCACTAAAAAAAAAATGAGAATTACACAAACTCAGCACTGCACAGTGGTCATGCACCCAAGAAGTGTTGAAATTTAAATGCACTTCAACATACTGAAAATAAAAGAAGGCAAACTCCACAATCCCATTATGATTCATTGGGACTAAAACAAATATGCTCGGTGCAAAAAGAAATACTAATCAGAAAAATGAGCATTGAATTTCAGAAATGCAATTTCACTTGTGCTGAGCCATACGTATGGGCATATCTTGATTGTGACATAAATACCTTTTGCTGACTTGTTGAATACACCGTAAATACTTTCTCGTGACATGGTGTCACCAGAAACATGAGAAAGTACAGACAGCCTGGTCAGTACTTTCTCATTGCTTTCAGTGGAGTGCAGATAATCAAAAGGTATTTACTTTTAAGAAAGGGACAAGTGGAAAGAAAAGTGTTTTTAAATGTCTTTTTATTTTTCCCATTTCATTTGTTTGTAAATATACTACAGTCAAAAGTCGTTAATCCGGACTCGTCGAGACTTCGGCGATTCCGTATTATCAATTTTTCCGGATTATAGATCATCAGCTTAAATCTGGTAAGATGGCATGCAGAAATTATAAAATTAAAATATGAAACATAATTTATGAAATAAAGAACAATTATGATCTAAAAGGTATAAAAAAAAAAAAAAAAAAGCAAAATTTACAAAAAAAAAAAAAAAAAAAAAAAAGCTTAATATTTATTTTGTTTACTTTATTAAACATTTCTTTCAATGTAAGTTGTTTAAGTTGCTTCGTTTTTATGTGATAATACATTCTCTTTAATTCTATAAACAGACATAATTTCTTCTTGTTCAGTTTACAAAGTTCCGCTGTTCAAGTCCTATAATTGCTGTGTCGAGAATACCGACTAATTTGTCAATCGAAATTTTTTTTTCGTTTTCAATAAACTCTGTGTCACTTTCTTCGCTATCGGAAGCGAATTATAATGACGAGGAATTTGATTTAAATCATATCAAAGATGGAGTACATCGAGATGAAATACTACATTTAGTAAGGAATTATAAGCCAAATAAAAACCATCTGCCCTGAAGATAAGAATAGTGTTGACAGATCAACTTCCAATTCATTGCGTGCCGCGGACGTTCCCCACACACGCAGAGCAGCATGAAATTGATAAACAGATTTTGGAATGGTTTAGATAAACAAGGATTATGCCTTTATCCATTTTTTGCAGCAATTCCACTTTTTGTTTAATGGACTTCGAAACATACTTTCGCTTTGTAGATCCTTTACATATTAGTAAATATATATCAGAAATTCTATTTGACATAATCGAAAGTTCAAGCTTACTTTTATAAAATTGCTCTAACAGTCTGCAAAAAATAATAAGCCGGATCCAATCGAAGATTAAAGGAACAACGCAATCTGCAACATTAACTGAATTAGATAATTTTAGCTTAGCTTATACCGTCCGTTATGCATTAAACGCGCATTCGTAAACACTCTTGTAATGCGCACACGCATATTCACAGCCGTAAAGGTCTTACGACGCATGCGCAGAAAGTTTGTAGCTTTTGAGGTCCGAATTATGGGTGTCCGAATTAACGACTTTTGACTGTATTATTTATTTTCTTGTACATAACATACACATTATCATTGTGATGAATTTATTTTTGTAAAATATCATTTGTGTTTCTGCTGTCCTCTGTCCTTTTTATTTAAGGGGGGGAATTCCATAATTTTGCTATATATATTCTCATGATGCACAGTGATTGCTGAAGATTCTTTATTCCTAATAATATGTGAGGATTAAAGATGTTCTGGAATGTTTATGTTGAAATAATGCCTTTTTTTTTTTTTTTTTTTTTTTTTTTAATACTAAACCTTGTTGCCTCGTTATGGCTTTTTATTCATAATTATGTATCATGCTAGTGAATTTCTAGGATTCATTTCAAGAGATTTCCTGCATTAATTGGTATGAAATCATTTTAAACCTGTTTGATGCTGCTGGATAAATAATCAGTTGATTTATAGTTTACACATTTTAATTTTTCTTATTTGACATTGTGTTTTGCTTATCTGTTTTTACGCTTTCTGCTGAATTTTGTTGTTTGACTTCTAAATTAATATTTGTTTAGCATGTTATTTTACCTTAATTTTGGTACTTCTTTGTCCCTAACCATATTTTATGATTTTACATTAGCACCAAAATCTCGGCTATAATTTTGCCAAGCTCATGAAGCAAGAATTATTAAAATAAACAACCCAATATATAATAGCAGCAATAAAACTCATGCCATTTCGTAAGAATATCTTTAAGAATTCTTATCCTTATCATTTTATCACATGTATTGTTTCTGTTAACTATAGCACTTTCACCCATATTAAGATGTTTGATACAGTCAAAAGTCGTTAATCCGGACTCGTCGGGACTTCGGCGATTTTAAATCTCGTAAGATGGCATGCAGAAATTCTAAAATTAAAAATATGAAACCGTAATTTATGAAATAAAGAACAATTATGATCTAAAGAGTATCAAAATTTACAAAAAAAAAAAAAAAAAAGCTTAATATTTATTTTACTTTATTAAACATTTCTTTCAGTTTAAGTTGCTTCTTTTTATGTGATAATACTTTCTCTTTAATTCTATAAACAGATATAATTTTTTCTTCAGTTACGAAGTTCCGCTGTTGAAGTCCCGTAATTGCTGTGCCGAGAATACCGACTAACTTGTCAATCGAAATTTTTTCGTTTTCACTAACCTCTCTGTCACCTTCTTCATGTCTTTATCCATTTTTTGCAGCAATTCCACTTTTTGTTTGATGGACATCGAAACATACTTTCGTTTTGTAGATCCTTTGGGAGCTCCAGCATCGGAAATTCTATTTGACATAATCGAAAGTTCAAGTTTACTTTTATAAAATTGCTCTTACAGTCTGCAAAAAATAATAAGCGGGATCCAATTCGAAGATTAAGGAACAACGCAATCATTAACATTAACTGAAATAGATAATTAGATAATTTTAGCTTACACCGTCCGTTATACATTAAACGCGCAGGCGAAAACGTATTCTGCACCTGCGCACACGCATATGCGCAGTAGTCAAGGTCTTACGCGCACGCATAAAACGCCTGTGCGCATGTGCCAACGTGGCACATGCACAGAAAGTTTTTAGCTTTGAGATCCGGATTATAGATCATTCCGGATTATGGGTGTCCGAATTAATGACTTTTGACTGTACACCTCCAGATGGTTTTGTTGATAACATAAAGTTTCATGTTGTGACCATTTTCGTGTGTCCAATTTCAGATAAAAAAACCTCTTTCTTGAAAAAATTATATGGCATCCACCTCATTACTATTAACATCATATTCATGAAAAAAAGCAATGAATGCATTTTTAAATAAACAATGTGAATTCGAAAACCTTATCAGAAATGAATAATATAGGAAAACAAGGCGAGAGCGAAAATGCAACAGGGATCTATATATACATACTTAGCAAGGGTTAGAACATGCAGCTGTGCTAATACATGTCTTGTGCAAGGTATAAAAACCCACAGTCAGATTGTGCCGAATGCAATGAATGCATTTTTAAATAAACAATGTGAATCCGAAAACCTTATCAGAAATGAATAATATAGGAACACAAGGCGAGAGCGAAAATGCAACATGGATCTAATATACGATAACTTAGCAAGGTGTCAGAACATGCAGCTGGTGCTAATACATGTTCTTGTGGCAAGGTATAATAACCCACAGTCAGATTTTGCCGAATTATCTTAGTTGATTGCCGATTCAATCTCGGGAGTCACTATAACAAAAGTACCAACATTTTATAGTTCCTTCCTAGACTACTGTACTAAATAGCAGCATAAGCAGAGCATAATTATTTGTTTTGCATGAGAGTAGAACCGTTCCTAACGTGGGTGGTGAAAATTGGGGATGGCTTAATTCTCACGATACCAGGCCTAAATATGTTAAATTCATTCTGTCATACCTAAGTAAGTACTTAGTGAGTATGAAATAAAAATTTTATTAATCATTGAGCACTTTTTTTTTAATGTGGGGCTGCAATCTTAGGGAAATATACGGGTAGTCAATGGAAGGTCCTGCATGAGAGTGCCACCTACATATTGGTTATATTCCCAAAGCATAAACTACACCGGAGTGCATCTCCGATACTTATCAGTTGTTAAGGTTAATTGTAGTTCTAACCAAAGTGCATTTCCACTTTTTTTAGGTAAGTGCAACACAGTTTCAGCAGTTATATTTTATTTTAATGATAAATATGCCTTAAAAATCAATTTTAACTCCTGAATGCTTGCCTGTCATTCTCTGCCGAACAAGTTCTTTGATGGAGGTTGAGAATTTTAAGAAACGAAAAGCCCCCATGCTTGCATATCAAAGGCATGTTCTCCAGGTAGTGCAATGAACTTTTCATTCACAAAAGTACTAAAAGTGATTATGTTGGCCATGCACATACTGCACTAGTGACATCCAACTGAAAATCTCTTGTTGATTTGAAATATGTAACCAATTAAAGGAGAGGAAAATCATCACTTGTGTGGACCTTGCATTTGTTCTCATGTTGCTGTCGAATTGGATTCGGCAACATCTCGGTTAGAAAGTGTTGAACTCTTTTCGAAGCTCCACTGCTATGTTAAAATTTCTTTCCTTACTGTTATGCTCGACTCAACTTTAAAAAGCATGGTGCTCCACTGAAATCTGGTCAAAGGCTCATGTCGTCTGCCCCATGCAAAATGTGCTGTCTTGTGTGCTGCAGTGACCCGGATGCAAACAGCGGATCTTCTCAACATGAAGCCTTTGGCCAAATGTAAACCGTGAAGCTTGGCTTTCGGTGGCAGAATACAGCTCGCATGAAAGCTGTGAAGCTGTAGGAGTCCTGTATTGCTGCACTCGAAGTACCAAATAACAATGCTTTATCATAGTGCAGGTCTTATCAGTATGAATCCAATGTCTTGAAACTGTTTCCACAAATTGCAGATGACACTGGATGTTACACTGAGCTCTGTAGCCACCTGTGCTTGTGATTGTCTTGCCTCCAATCTACCAACAATTTTCCATCTCATTTCTGCATCCATATGTTCATAGCTACTCATTTTAACAGATACCTCATAAAATTTACCAATTCTTGCAAGAAACGTGACAAGTATTGTGAAGCACACAAATCGCTGAAAACTCTTCGTGTGCTGATATCCTCTCCACAATCGCAACTTGCAGACTTGCACATGTACGATTACTTATTTGGCTCTTGAGTATTTGCGTAATTCTTTAGTGGTATAATTAGTAGCTTTGGTCTAATACTTTTTGTACAAATATGCATAACTTGCAAATTCTCGTAATTTTGTACACAAGGGTATAATTAATGTATAAGTAACATTAATGTGAAAATCTCAAATAAAATAATGCATATTTATTTACCCAGCTTTGTTCTAAGATTTTTAAATAAATAATCTTCAGGATCAAAACACATGAGATGAAATTCTCCATGTAGAATTTTATTACAGATGTAAAATTAGCATTGGCTTCTCTGAATATAAAACAATTTATAATAACATATGCAAAATCTGGCACTGTTGTGTTATAAAATATGCCTAGAAAATTAACATTTTATGGTACTTTTCCGTTTTTCCGGCGCAAGCGATAAAGTCGCCAATAATGGTACAACCGATGCCAAACGGAATATTCTCGCTGGTAACCTTATACGCCTCATTTTCAAAACAAGTCGCAGCTTTTTCTTATCAGATTGATTGTTTCTTTCAATAATGGCATAATAGAATTTTATCAGATTACAGTTTTAGTCTAAGGCATTTCGGTTAATTAAGTCAATTAGGATGCAATCACAGTACTTACCCGAAGCCGAAATAAGAAAAAAGGTAAAGTCAAGGTTTTAAATTCATCCATTCTAATGAGAATGCATTAGCGAAGTAAGCAGCGGCGTTTTACGTAATTCTGAGTAAGCTATGGTACGAATTGAAATATTTCTTGCATTTACCTTGTGTTCCAAATGAAGATTGAAACTTGAAATTATGTAGATAATACTGAGAGCATTAGATTTTTGTAGAGTAGTTTGCTTGAGATGAGATCGCTTGGGGTCACGTGATATGAAACTGGCGAATCAGGATGTTGAACCATGAAAGCATAGTAAATTCTTAAATGAATGTCTTTTTACAAATTTATTCTTTATTTATTGGCTTTTTATAAAATTTAAGCGTATTAAATTTTATGCCTTCAAAAATAAAAATTCTTGGAACTAAAATTTTTTTAATTTTTTTATGTGTATACTATATGTTGTCGCCAATAAAGTCTGCTTGGCGAGATTTGTGCTGGCGAAACGGAAAAGTACCCATTTTATTCATATTCATGTTTTTGTTTTGTTTTAATTTTATTTTTTATTCCCACATTTCAAAACTTCAGATTATATTTGTATCAATTTCTATAGTATCTTAAAATATAAATTTGTTTATATTTAATAATTTGTCTCATATGTGTATTTCCATATTTACTTGTTCTGACAGATTTATTGCATATTTCATGTGGTATCTTGATTTAAAGTAATAGTTAAAATTTATTTTTTTAATTACTGATAGTAAATTTTATAAAATTTTTCAAGGTTTAGTTAAATTTCCTTATGAAAATTCCTAATTGATATCGAATGATTAAGTTTAATAAAAGTAGATAACTTTTTACTGTTTATACAGAATCCAATGAAACAAACTGTCAAGTTTGGATTTTAAGCTTTAATTTAAAAGTGACATATTAATTTTGGACTTCTTTCAAAATAACCATAATACATTAATATATATATTTTCTTTCACATATAGTTAAAACTTTATTATGTTGAGAAGAACTGTCTGCCTGCTGAAATGTGGCCGGTCATTTTGTTGCACTTATCGCATAAATGCATTCCATACTAACACAGTGAAAGTTTTGTGTTCAGCTCGTGATAAAGATCTACCATTTCCTCACATGCCAACAGCTGTTAGCAAAGCACATAACCATGATACAGGTACAGTATTCATGCTTATTTTTAAAATGTTTTAAAATTAAATAACTGAATTATTTCAATTTTTTAGTCCAAATGGACAATTTCTCCAGAGGGACTATTAATTTCATTTTGGCATTTTGTGTTAATTCATTACAAGTGTTTTTTCACTTTTCAAATTGTTGCCACCAAATATTATTGCCCTGTATTATATTTAAAGAAATTAAATAATGAAGAATCTGTAAAAATTTCTCGCATTGTGATAAAACAAGGATACCTAGAACCATCCAGTTTTGAATAACGTAATCCTCCTATGAATATGGGCATCTAGAAGCCCAAACTTGAAATTTGTTTTATTATCGATTTTATATTTTGTAAAACTTTAAAAATTAACGAATTTTTGATTAACAAACTCAAGGATTTCAAAGCGAGCCATGGCAACGTTGTACAGAAAAAACATTTTTATCTCCAGCATGCAAGATTGTGTATTGAAAATTCTAAAGATATGCTCATTTAAAAATTATTTTGCAATATTGCTCTTGAACTGAAGTTTATGATTTAATTGCAAAGAACATGATATTTGCTAAATAAAGGTAACACAAAATTGTAAAAAAGAAAGCACCCCTTTGGAAAATCTGTAACCTTTCCGATTTTTTTAAAAATTTTATTCGAAGTTTACTAAACATAGCTTCTGATTCACTTATACCAGTGTCATAGATCATTCTTATTTGAATACTTATGTAAAGCAAATACCCATTTAAAAATTATGACACCTTCAATAGAAAATAGCAATATCTAGACCAGGCATAGGCAACCTGTGACATGTATGCTAGATTTGGCACACAGTACAATTCTCAATGGCACTCTACAAAGTTATGACATACAGATATATCACCTTGTCTCTGCTCTCTGCAGCAACCCATCTCACATTTTCTCGCTTTTCGTTCGATTCATCGCACCGATACATGAGTATCGAGTTATCGTTTTAATCGATGGTGTCGTACACTATAAAGTTACTTTTAACTTTATGACATGTTCTTAGTTTTATTGTGAAAGCTTGTATTTTGTTTTTTAATTATTGTGACAGTTCATACCTACATATTTAATTAAATGTCCACTAAGAAAAGCAAGCCTGATGTTCTCAGTTTTCAAGACTCTTGGACGAATGAATATGTATTTGTACATAAAAAGAATCGTGTTTTATGTCACACGTTAAGTATACAAAGACATTTTCAAACTAACCATCAGTCCATGTCTCAGAATCCCAATGAGAAATTTGAAGTTATAAAAAGAGCTCCCTCTAGATATAAGAAACAAGTTACATTTTTTGTCTAACAAATGGAACCAAACTTAAAGCAACGAACATAGTTTCGCAATTGCTCATTGTGTAGTTCCAAAGGCAGAGCTTTCACAGATGGCAAATATATTAAAGGACGCATTTAAAAAAAGTGTTGAAATATCATTAAGCGATTTACCAGATCTACAAACAATATTACCTCAAATTGAAGAAATATCGTCTTTGTAATGAACTATTGAAAGACGAATAACTGAAGTAGCAGAAAATGTAACAGCAAAGCAGAATTTTAGATTACAAGAAAACTGCTGCATTTAGTATTGCTCTTGATGAAAATACTGAAGGGAATGCTCTTGCACAGCTTGTTTTGTTATTATGTTGCAATTATTTTAATAAATGTGTTTAAAAGATACATAATATATAATATATGTTGGAATAGTTAAATTTTATTTTATATTAATAAATGCTGGCTAATCTTCCATAAACAGGATAAGTTGGACTCTTTTCATTTATGATGTCAAACTTCACGTTGCCATTTCATTTGACAATTGCCAATTGCAAAAAGAAATTAATATAAAATCTAACATCGACAAACGAAAATGACGCTAAATATAACACAATCATAAATTACTACTAACACATAAATTTAAAATAAACTACCAAAAAATCAAGTCACAAACATGAAACTAAAAATTACGAAAATAAATTACTACAAAAATAATACATACCAAATGTCTCTTCACCCAATGAAATTCCTAAGTGAATAATTTACCAGAAACAAATTGTTAATCTTCTCAAACTTTTCTTAAAATTATTCTAAGTACCGCAGGTTCTAAATTCTAAAGTTTATCTGAAATTAAACATGCTTCCACCAACAACAGATCAATCTCCTGCAAATATTAAACTGTAAAACTTTAAAAAATAAATACAATATTTCAAAGTTAAATTTAAAAGAACAATCTTCTGGCTACACTAAACTCACATTCATTACAATCATTGAAATAAAGCTCCATGTTTGCCACAAGAAAACATACAGCTGGAAAACTAACCAAATAAAAATTGTGCCAAATAAAAACTCTCGCCAAGTTTCGCACTCCCCCTGCTTATGGTAGATTAACCTTTTAATGATGCATAATTAATGTATAATTAAACTCTAAATCTATATTCTTGACTTTTATTCCCTAACTCTGCATGCATTGTTATAGGAATCGAATTGTTTCAAATATTTCCTACTGTGCGGCACTGTGAATCATATTAGGAGATTGGTTCGACACACCACAGCTACAAGGTTGTCGACTCCTGATCTAGCCCAATAATGGGAAACCTGTGACTTTTTAAGTGTGCACCCTTACCTTTTAACTGTTACATGACCTTACTGTTTACATGATCCAGTTTCTTAAATAAGTAAATAGATCAAACACATACTGAAGTATGTGACATTAGTAAATTGGATCCAAGAAGTTTGAAAGTCATCTTTTTGCATGACAGAGTCAAATTTTTTGGATGCAAGAAACAAAGAAAATGTGACAGATTTATGATGACAGGCTTTTTACTGATGCTCACTTTTTCTGAATGTCGTAATTTTTTGTCTATGCTGTGCTCTCTGTGTTTTCTCTCTCTGTCCAGACCTGATTAATAGCCAGATGTGCTTCTTCTCATAATACCAAGCTACACAGGAAGGAGATGGAAAATTTAATACATTCTTCCTTACATAAAAGGTGATGGGAGAGAAGAGGCCAATTGCTACTTAATCCAAGTGGTGATGAATTATCGTCCACCACATTTTAGTTTGGGTGTCAAGAGTTATTGTAATGCTTGTGGTAAAGATAAAGGAAATTCTTTACAGTTTTATTGAATACTTCTGTATTCAGTAAGCTTTGTATTGAAGTATATAGCATTCTTCAATAGCTTTGTATTAAGAGTAAATTTTATTGAATGCTTCTGTATTCAATAAGCTTTGTATTACTTTTACGACTTTGTATTCAAGCTTTTGTTATTGTAGGTAATTAAAGCTTTCATATCTGAGGTATCCATTGCATGTGTTCCTTAAAAATAAAGTATTATTAAAGGAAGTGAAGTTATAGTCTTTGTAACTGGTATCTCTTGCTTTTACTGAATCAAATAAGGAAGAAATTCTATTATAAATAAACTGATCAGAGAAAAAAGGAAATTTTAAAGTTACATTATTATTATAGGTATTAAAAAAGGAATTAAGTCCAGATATTCAAATATTACTTTTATTTCCAGGTCTTGGGAAGTGCTGTGGTGGTATAGAATTATATGTCTCATATAGTGAAAGTGGAATGTATTTATTTTAAATTCAAAAATGCAGTCATTTATTTTCAAGATAAATGTAATTTCTGTATTATGTTTTCCATTGGTCTTTATCTTGTATTTATGATAATTTGAATATTTTACATTGTGGTCTTATTTACTTGTTGAATTTATTATTAAATTGTGTAATTAATTTAGTGAAATTTAAGAATCAGTTAAGTAAAATTATAAGAAATTAAAGATATGAATTACTTTTGATCCAGTGCTGTGAATAATTAAGTATAACTTAAAATTAGGCAAAAAAGATCACCTTTAATATTAAATCTCTGCCAAGGCAAGGTTCTCTTTTTTTTTTTTTTTTTTTTACTAACTTCTACAAAATTTTATCGAGACATTCATAAGTAGATCTTTATTCTTTAAGTGCAAACAAATTTTTGCAAAAGCTAGGACACATACAAAATGAACACAAAATTTTAAAATTAAAAGGAAAGATAAAATGACTGAATCAAAGTTCGAATGTTCATACAGTCTGTAAGATCTCTCTTTGGATAGGCCTGACATCTCATCCACTCCTGGTTTTTGCAGATTTTACATCTTTTTGGCTGCTTTTCACTGAGGATCCTTTAACTTCTATCATCTAGCTTGTCCATTTCTGTCACTTTTAAGATCTTCAAATCAACTTCATGACAGTTCTAATAGAAAGTATCTTTGAGTGGAACGTAAAAGTTGTTCTTTTGTAGTTTTTAATCACAGTAATCTAATTAAGTTACCTTTTTCAGGTAGTAATTTGGTAATAATGGCTAATGGCCACTCAGTGCAGTTAATATTATCACTTCCAACAAGAACTGCATTTCCAGGTTTAGAATTCCATTCATGCTTCTTTGATCATATCCTTGAATCAAAAGTTCTAATATTCATATATAAAACATTTTTGTATGTCAATTATTAGTTGTTTAGGGTATTTTATAGTTAAAATAGGTTTGGATATTTTAATATCTTTCTGAGAGAGCATTTATCAACATCTTCCAAATCAGGAATGCCATTTTTTTTTTAAAAATATTATAAAAATGAATTGGGAGACAAAGAAATAAGTTCAGAGTTTTGTTATGAGATTTAATCACAGATTTCACATCACATAATGTAGTTGTTATAGTTGTCACTAGCAGGCAAGCCCACCAGATGAGGGGGCTGCTGCCAAAGCAAATGTATAGAAACATTTCAGTATCAATGAAATCAATTCATTCTTTCCAAGCAACAATCAGTTTGTAAATAATTTTTTTTTTTAATTGTCAAACCAGAAAACACAAACTTTTGATACTTTAGGTTAATATGTATGATGTCATAATTTAAATTTAAAGGAATTAATGTGGCATTAACATATCATGTCAGTTATACTAGCCTGAAACAAAAAAAGTTGCCAACAGCTGCTATTTATTTCAAATGCTTATTAATGAAACATTTTTGACATACAATGTCATGCATGCAATTACATGCTTTCTTGAACGTCAGAATATGATCTTATATAATAATATGTTTAAAGTGTGGCAATGCTATTTTTATTTCATATTATGTAAAACACTTACAAATTTTTATCAACAAAGTCTATGACTTGAAAGTGAGCAGAGGCAACACTTTTTGAAATAAAGCAGATTTTTATCTCTAGCATGTGAGACTGTTGCCGCTTGGAAAAATGAGTGCAAAAATTAGTGTTTTCAGGGATTTTAATTAATATCTTGTCTGATTAACATATTCTAAAGTATTATTTATGTTTGAAAATAGATTTGGATATTAAATAAAAACATTTGTTATATAAACATCAAATATTCTTATTCTTAATTATTCTTTATAAGCCCTGTGATAGAAAAGAAAAACTAACTTTATTCAAAATCAATAGTTGGTAGAGCCTCCACGAGAGGTAATTACAACGTGGACCCTCCGGGGCATACTCTTCACAAGTCTTTGTATGACAGCTAGTGGTATTTTCTTCCAACTCATCTTGGAGAAGACATAGAAGTTCCTTCACCGATTTTGCACGGGTAGTGCACCCCTGAATTCGGCGATGCAACTCGTCTCGGAGGTTCTCGATAGAGTTCAGGTCTGGACTCTGGGCAGGCCAGTCCATTCGATGAATTCCATTGGCACCATACCAAGCCTTAGTTAACGTCGAAACATGACAACTGGCATTGTCGTCCTGAAAGAAACGGGTCCAACCCGTAAAATTGCCACTATGTAGGAAGCACACTGTCATTCAAAATAGTGCAGTAGGCATCGGAGTTGAGCTTACCATGAATGGAGACGAAGGATCCCAGCCCATACCAGGAGAAACACCCCCAGACCATAATTTCACCTCTGCCAAACTTGACTGTTGGCACAGTGCATTCTGGCAGGAGACGTTCTCCAGGTAGACGCCAGACCCAGACCCTGCCATCCGAATGGTAAAGGGTGAACCTTGATTCGTCACTCCAAGCACCCGTTTCCACTGATCTATGGTCCAATTTCGATGTGCCTTGCACCACATTAACTGAGCAGCACGGTTGAACTTTGTGATCAAAGGCTTATGGGCAGCAGCACGACCATGAAAACCAAGCAGATGTGCTTTCTTACGGATGGTATTCATTGAAACAATACTCCCGGATGCCTGTTGAAACTCCTCGCGGATGAGGGCCATCGGTTGGGTGCGGTTCTTCCGAATTTCTCTGGACAGCAGTCGTCGGTCTCTATCTCCCAGTTTCGTTGCCGACTCGGGGCACATTCCGACAATCACCGCTCACCTTCCACTTCTTAATCACATAGGCCACTGTCGATTTTGGGTACTTCAGATCGCTAGATATATCCCTTAAGGATCGGCCACATTTGTGATACCCGATAATTATACCTTTCTTGAAATCAGAGAGCTTCGAACTGCGAGGCATCTTGCATGCGACTAAAGCCGATGCTGTTTCCTTCACGATATATACCAGCGGAGTCCGTGACATACCTTAGGACCGCAGATATCGTCATTGGCATAGCTGTCCAAATACTTATTGGTAGTCAGTGTACATGCATATATTTTTTACTTGACTTACATTTCTAATATTTGTTTTGTTGCCACTTCCAAAAACAAACAATAATATTATTGGCCAGGAAACATTAAGTAAATAAAATTAAATGAAAGTAAGCATAAAATACAAATTGCACCTCATCTGAAATCCAAACTAACCAGCCTGCTTCTCTTAAATTGGCAAAGAAATTTGAGTGTAATTTATTTGATATTATGCAGCTAATATCTACCATTATAGATTTAATGACTGAACAGGAAGAAGCAATAAAATTTTCTTTGCATAATGTAATTGTTGATGAATAACTTATTCCAGACCAATAAGACACTGTGCTCTGCAAACTGGCCTCTGTTCTCTGAAGTGAAATCTATGTTTCAAAAATTCTGAAAAAGGTCTATTCTATGAAAAGGGGTCAAATTTACATCTGTATTGCAATCGAAAAGCTCTGTAAACTTGTTGAGAGATGTATGGTAAAAGTTAAATAATGAATAATTTATCTTCTTTATATTTTTGCTTTCTGTGAATTCAGTTTTAAAACTTTGTGGACTTACTTTTTTGTTTATGATTCCCTATTGAATTTTTGCAATTGCCAAGGTGAATATACTGCCTAATATTGGTGACATTTAGCAGTATATAACCTACCTAGTATCATTCTGAAAGTATTACAAAAGATATGCATTTGGGAACCCTTAGGACAGGTTTTTCTGGAATACTCCGGTTATGCTTTTATCCTGGATTTAAGTAAAATAAATAGGAGACTGCACTGGAATCAGCATTTGTTGAGAATTCAAATCTTAGGCTGTTAGGACAATTTAATTTGTGCTCTCTGAGTGTTTTAGTAATTTGTCTTAACTCATTACATGTTATGGACAATTTATCTTATCTAATTTATTTATCAATTTATCTTGAGCTATTTTTAACTTTTTGTCTCATGATGAACTAAAGTTTCAAGTTTTTATCTGCCTTCCTTATTTAAAAAGATCTTTACTTATGTTTCAAAAATTCTGAAAAGTGTAACAATGGGACAGAAAAGGGGTCAAATTTACATGACTTGCTAGAACAGATTATTTATGTGACCATATTATTGCATGTATGCTATAATTTTTGTGTTTAGTGTCATTTCATTATCATCATGTATATATATATATCATTATATTTCATAAATATTTTTTAATAAATGGATATTAGCAATCAAAATGTAAATATCTCTAAAGGTAAAAAATTTATTTGAGCACTTTTTGCATTCTAGATATTTTGTTGGAACAGATACACAAAAGCAAAACACTCGATAGAATTCTGGAGCTAACTAATATGCATCTGGAAGTAATGAATAGCAACCATATTGTCGTATGTTTTGAAAATATTCATCATGTTTTGAAGTAAGTAGACAGTATGTCGTTTTATACAGTAATTTGTAATCATTTACAGAGAGTGTTTGCACATTTTTGTAGTGATTTTGCAAAGATTTGTATATAAATAAACCTTAGAATTTTATCTTCTAATAAGTTCAGTCTGATGGAATTTAACACATTAAACATTGTTTGGATAAAAAAATGGAATTTCCTTTTTAAAAATATCTGTTAAAACATATTTCTGTAGTGATCTGAATTAATTTTGACATTTTTTTCTACTTTCCTTATTTTAAGTTTTCCGTTATAAGAGAATATAGTAATAGCGATAAGACCGTTAGAAAAACTTTTCTTGTTTCTCTGAACCAACATATTAAGTCTTTTTCTACTCTTTATCGGTAATAAATTGATCTTTTTCTATTGCAGTCACATAAGCGTATGCAAGCCTCATCAACTGTAACTATATACAGTGTGGCGCAGGGAAACGGGAAATTTTGAACGTTACATTTGGCAGCACTGTAGAGCCGGCAGTTGTTCGAAACCTTGCACAATTATTGTGAGTACATTGCCATTTAGTAATCATGGATCATTGGACTGGTGCGGAATGTGCAGTAGCTGTGAGAGCGTTTTATAAAAATGGTGTGTTCCGTCTTTTCGGTAGATAGGTGGCGCTCTTGATGCGCGCCGATGAAAAATATTCCACTTGACGCTTGAACATGAAGAATGACGCATGTCATATTTATTTGATGCTTGATTATGTTTCATGGCCGCTATAGGTGGAAGTAATATACTATATCATTAAGTTTATCGTTAATAAATGTAATTTCTATGTTCTGTAAAATCTTGAAGTTTTGATTTGAAATTCTAATGCTCTCCCAACCTGTTTCCTGAAAACGAAATCAACTTGAGAAATGATGACTCATGAAGAGACACCACATGGTCATAGTGTGACTGCCGCGCATAGATTTCGACAGCATTACCAGCTTAGACGTCATGGATGTGTCCCATCTGTGCATGCGATTACAACATGGGTGCGTAATTTTGAAGAAACAGGCGTAATTTTGAAGAAACAGCGGATCTGCCTTGAAAAAGCAACCTCCAGGTGGCATTCCAGCAGTACGTACGCCAGAGAACATTGAAGCTGTTAGAGCTGCAATTGAGAGAAGTCCTCGCCACTCCGTTCAAGAGCATGCATCTGCAGCACGACGGAGCCACGCCTCACACTGTTCGACAGTCGATGGCAACAGTTCATCAATTGTTTGGAAGATGTATTATTTCACGTAATGGTAACATTGAATGGCCTGCGGGATCCCCTGATCTTAGTGTGTACGACTTCTTCCTGTGGGGATATCTTAAAGGCAAGGTGTACCGTACACGTCTTGCAACAATCCATGACCTGAAGAAGAACATTGAAAAAGAAATCACTGCCATTCCCCAAGATTTGCTACACCGCGCATTCCAGAGTTTTCATAACAGGCTGTTTGAGTGTGAACGCCGCATGGGAGCACATCTTTCTGATGTCATATTTAAAAAGTAAAGAGACACTTTTGGACATTTTGATTGTAGAAACATAAATGGCATGCTGAATACATGCACTTTCGTTAATAAATTACTAGTTTTAGGAATTTATTCGCAGAAATGACGTTATTTCGAAATTTCCCATTACCCTGCGCCACTTTGTATTTCCATTTTTCACTTGCCAGATAATTTTTATACAGCAATCTGCACAGTCTTGCTCCGAGAAACATGTTTTTGCATTAGGCGATGAACATCATATTTTTTTAGTTTTAAATTAGATTTTATAATTTTGCTTACAGTTTCTACAGAGATATAAAGATTTTGCAATAGCTATTTGGGGGGAGGGATTTTTCTTTAAAACGTGAGATGCGACTTTAGATTTAATAGAAGCTGTAAGTACCTTTGCTGGGTATGCACTTTTTGCCCTTTTTCCACTCAGATGTAAACTTTGACATTTTTTCTCCTTTCAAATTAATTATGTCACTTATTTTACATATTGAAATATTAAAACCATGCTTTAAAAATCTTTTTTAATAATTGAGTAAGAATATTTCTCTTTAGACAGTGCAAAATATATGGCCTTTGATCCATTGTTTATTTTTAAGAGACATCTTAAAGAAATGAATATTTTTAATATGACATACAGAAAGTAAACGACAATAGCGTCAGCAAGGGTTCACTCAAAGGAATGAGCTAGCCCTTCTCTTTAACCCTGGACAACAAACAGCAGATAAAAACTAATAAAAGTATTTATGATGTTTTATTAATTAGTAAGAAGTATTTGATAAATTAATATTTATGCATGAAAGTATACATTTAATTACTATGTATTAATGAAAAAATAGTAAATTAATGATTTAACGAATTAGGTATTTATGTATTATCCCATTGGCCATGAAAACTGTCACTACGGAGTGCGATTTGCGACAATTGTTGATAAAGGTGGCGCAAGAAAACACTCTATATATCTGTGCTTTTCTTTGACATAAATTAGGCTGATTTTTGATCATATTCTCTATCTTTTTATTTTTATGAACAAGGATATAAATTAACTATTCCTCCTGTATTTCTTCCTTGCATTTTGTAAAAAAATGATTATAAGGCATTGTTATTAAAGTTATGGGATGCTATCTTTAAAAAAAAAGTGGGTATTAATGGACACGATATGGTCAGTTGAATATGGCACACAAAACAATAACAGATTGGAAATATTAGCAGCGCAGATTGTGCTCAACACATTCTAAACAGAACTCCCAGTAAAATAGGAGAAGCTAATAGAGTAGCAGAAATCGCCGAAAGCATTTTTATGGAAAACAAAAACGAAACAGGTCGAATACTGATTAATCGTTAAATAAAGAGATGTCAAGTCCTTTTGAATTTAACATGAATGATTGACGCAACTTTGACAGGATTGCCGTCTGCAAAATCCTGTTGTAGCCAGCTTTGACTCTCAACTGTTGGCAGAAATCTTATCCATTGTCACCAATAGCCAGTCATTAGTGCAGATTTCTAAAGGAAGTAAGTCATCCATAATTGGCGCTAAATCACGCTACTTTGCCCGTCATTGGGATAATACATAAGTACCATAAATTAATTTATTAAAGTATTAATTAATAAGCAAAACTGAATAAATGCACTTTTTTCCTCATCATTATTTCAAAAGGTAAATTTATTCAGTTTCACTTATTTATATTACTGTATTTCAGCAGTACCACGTACCTAAAATTTATCTTTACAATAAAAAGTGGAACATATTCTTCTGTGTAGGCAGATAAATTTGCATGCTTTTGCTAATTAAACAGAAAACAAAGCAAAAAGTCAATCAACAAAAAACAAAAAAATAATTATTTTCATGAGCATCTCTTAAATAAACCAATCAGATAAGCTGAATTACTGAAAGTAGTGATGTAACTGACTGGTTACAACTTTTTTTTAATACTTTAGATGCAGTTTCACATTTTAATGAATAGTTTTGTCATAGTACTCACCAATAATATCAAAAAAAATTATGAATTGACAGTGTTTCTTTAATTTAATGCCATTATTATACAAAGATTATAGAATCTTTGAATTTTTGCAAAAGCTATAGTCTTTGCATAATAATAACAAAAGTTATCTATGCTTGGCATAGGATTTAACCTGAACACAAAAGGAAAGCATGTAGAATCAGCCTTCAGCATCATATTGTTTGAGGGTGCAATATATGTATTTGAAACTGTTACATAATTTGCATTATTCTAGAGTCATATTCAAAACTCTGCTTATTTCCATATGACAGTGATTTATTGCTATAATATTTTATGCATGTTTTTTGTTTTTAAAAATCAAACTGTATGACTTTGGTTGGTTATAACTATTGATACCCTGTATTTGTTTTCCCTTCAAGGTCAGAAAATACTTCTGTTCATCAAAGTTTGATACAAAACAAGACATTTCAAGCTCTGTGTACGCGGCTGATGCGGACAGTTCGGTTTTTAGAGCCCCAAGAATTGATCACTGTGTACAAGTGTCTAGCACTGCTTAACATTCGTAACAATACATTTGTAATGCAAGCAGTATTAAAAATGATAGGGGCACGTCTAAATGACATGACTTTAAATCAGTTGACATTTGTCAGTTTTCTTCTTAGCCGGCAAAAACATAATTCATTAGTTGATGGTTTAAGATTAGCCTTACCACTAGTTTTGCAGGTTCAAATTGATCAGCAACTTGATTCAGAAAATATGACAGAAGTTACAGATTGTTTACAGTTAGCTTGCAAATCGAAATTAAAACCTGCAACTATTGAAGTAAGTGCCTGATTTTGTTATACTTTTAATTGATTTATATTTATTTATTATTATATAAATGAGGAATTTTAATATCACTGACCTTAAACTATTTCTTGACCTCTGATTGCTCCATTGATTGTTCTTATATATAACATGTACGTCAGTTTTCCTTTTAATATGAGCCAGGTGATAGTAATTTTGTATTAGGTATCTGTGAATGTCTGAATGAAGAAATAAGTAAAAAGTCTGTAATCCAGACGTCCATTATCTAAAATGATCTATAATCCGGACCTCAAAGCCACAAACTTTTTTTTTTTTTTTTGTATGCTTTAGGCATGCGTGTTTAATGTATAACGGACGGTATAAGCTAGGCTAAAATTATCTTTACTGATTCTAAGGCATTTCAGTTAATGTTGCAGATTGCGCTATTCCTTAATCTTCTAATTGGATCCGGCTTATTATTTTTTGCAGATTGTTAGAGCTATTTTATAAAAATTAATCTTGAACTTTCAATTATGTCAAAAAGTTTCCAATTCTGGAGCTGCCAAAGGATCTACCAAGCGAAAGCATGTTTTGATGTCCATCAAACAAAAAGTGGAATTGCTGCAAAAAATGGGTAAAGGCATATCCATCTCAAAATTATGCAAAGAGTATGACATTGGAAAGTTAACTGTATATGACATAAGCAAAAAGAAAAAGGAACTTTTTGAATTTTTTGTGCATTCTGACACCCCACTTGCAATGAATAACAGAAAAAGTGTTCGTTATGCTGAAAGTGATCATTGAATGGGTCAGACAGCGTTGCAGCGAAGGCGTGCCATTGACGGGTCCAATGCTAATGGCTCAAGCCAAAATATTTCATGAAGAAATGAAAATAAATACTGAGTGCACATATTCGATAGGTTGGTTAACCAAATTTCAAAATCACCATGGTATAAGACTATTAAAAATTCCAGGTGAAAAAGCTTCAGTTGATACTGAAGCTGCTGAACAATTCGCAGATGAATTCTTTGAACTCATTACTAGTGAACAATTATCTCCAGAACAAATTTACAATGCTGATGAAACTGTTGTTTTCTGGCAATGTACCTCAAAATACCTTGGCAACCTCTACAGAAGAGGCTCCAACTGGTGTCAAAGATTCCAAAGCGAAACTAACAATTTTAGCATGCACAAATGCTGCAGGAACACACAAGTGCAAACTTTCTGTAATCGGAAAACATGCACGACCTCGAGCATTTAAGGGAGTAACGATTTTCCATGTTATATATCGTGCAAATAAAAGAGCATGGATGACACAAGCGTTGATGAATGATTGGTTTGAAAATCATTTTATACCCGAGACTCGACGACATTTGAAATTGGTTGGTTTACCTGATGGCTCAAAAATAGTCCTGATTGTTGACAGCTGTATGGTGCATACTTCCCTTAAAGTTTTAGGGAAAGATTATGTATCCGTATTATTCTTCCCTCCAAATTGTACGTCTGTCATTCAGCCTATGGATATGGGAATAGTGCACGCACTGAAATGCAAATATAAAGTAGTATTTTTAAAATCTGTATTAAATTTCTTGAGCAATGGCAAGACTATTCAAGACTTTTTGAAATTTTTTGGCATAAAATCTGCCGTGTGAAGCATCGCAAGATCGTGGGAGGATGTGTCTCCAGATACGTTAAAAAATGCTTGGCATAATTTATGGCCAGCTACCACATGTCATGGCGAGGATGATAAAGATCCGAAAATAGCCACGAATTTGTAGGTTTTCGGGCATCGCAAACTAAAGGTGAAATTTTCCGGTTATTGGATTTTGTAAAGAAATGTGGGGATGCGGTAATAAATGAAGATGATATAACAGAAGTTTTTCATTGTGATGACAATGTCCCAATCATCAATCAATTAACGGATGACAAAATCTGCAGTATGGTTCTAGATCTAGAAAATACCACTTCCGATACTGAAGAAAGTGACAGAGAGGTTATTGAAAATGAAAACATTTCGATCGAAAAGTTAGCCGGTATTCAACACAGCAATCACAGGACTTGAACAGTGGAACTTTGTAACTGAACAAGAAATTATGTCTGTTTATAGAATTAAAGAGAAAGTATTATCACAAGAAACGAAGCAACTTAAACAACTTACATTAAAAGAAATGTTTAATAAAGTAAACAAATAAATATTAAGTTTTTTTTTTTTTTTTTTTTTGTAGATTTGATACCCTTTAGATCATAATTGCTCTTTATTTCATAAATTACGGTTTCATATTTTTAATTTTATAATTTCTGCATGCCATCTTACCACATTTAAATTGATGATCTATAATCCATAATTGAAGTCCCGACAAGTCCGGATTACGGATTTTGTACTGTATGAAAAAGCAATTAAAATATATTTTAAAGAGTTAAAAAGAAATTAAAAGCTAGTAAAATATATTTAAAGAGTTTTTAAAAGTCATATGATAATATATTAATAAAATGTGTGAAATGGCATATTTAACTGACTAAATAATTTTTTTGTTTTTATAAATATAAAGCCATGTTTCCACATAAAATCAAGTTTTTATGCTGTATGATTAAAAGTATCCCGACACCCCTTGTAACAGTGGATTCTTCTAGAGACATCAGGCTTCTAGCTTCCGGACTTTAAAAGAAGGCAGACAAATTTGCTATTATTATTTCAGAGCTAGAAATGTACAAGGGAATGAAAATATACACTAAATGGTTTTGAATGAAAAAAAAAAAAATGTTAGAAGCAGCCCATTCTACTGTACATGATGTTATTGTGATGTGGAAATGTGCAGGGCTTATAATGGTACAACAAAGATCTGGTATTTCATGTTCTCTTGTAGACTGGAAGAGCACTATAGAGAGTTTGAAAATTAATCAAATGTAATCGACAGGAATTCCAAGAAACTTCTGAATGCAGTGTCATCACAATGATGGTCACGAACTACAAACTTGTGCTGTTTACAGCAGAACTGCTGATTATAAACCAAATCGCACCGCTACGAATGCAAAATGTCACTTACAGTGGTGCAGACATCAACAACTGTGACGCCATCATAGGTATAGGAGAGATGAATCAAGTTATATTATCTTGCATTTTGATGGTAGAGTCTAGATGTGGAGATTGCCAGGTGAACGCTTTTTATCTGATTGTATTGTGCTGCCAGTAAAATTTGAAGGCAGAAGCATTATGGTTTAGTGCTGTTTTTCTTGGTCTAGCTGAACATTTTTGACAATTCTCTGTTGTCATGCATTTGGAGAGCGTCCGTACCTGTTTCATCATAATCAGGCTGCTGTCCATTCTGCTTGGTCTCTGCAGAGGTGGTTTGCAGATATTGTTGTTCAGAAATTAAATTGGCCTGCTTAAAGCTGAGACTTGAATCCCATAGATCACATGTGGGATGTACTAGAACATTGACTACAATCTAAGCTATGTTGCCCCAAGTCGGTGACAAAACTGACCCGTGTTCTGCAAGAATAGCATGTAATTCCTTCCAAAACATTTCAAAAACTAGCAGGCATTCTCAGAGAGTGACAGCTGTTACTGCAGCAAATGGTGACCCATTCTCTATTAAAATTTTTGCTTTTGTACATGTATGTGTCCAGAGAATTTTGATCATATAGTATATATGCGATATTTTGGGAGATGTTATTGGTGATTATTGTTTTCTTTTAATATAGAATATGCTTGAAAATTTCATTTTGTTTGAGGTTTTCAGAAATGATCAATTGCCGAAATAAGCAGAATTTATTTTATTTTCTAAATTATCTGGATGTGTTAATTATATAATGGTATCTCACCTCTTTTGTGAAACTATCTAATGGCTTGAAAACTTTGGATTAATATTCCATGGAGTTTCTGTTGACACAATTTCCTATTACCATGTTTTCTGCCATATTTTTCTCCTTAGCTTTTTAGTACTAGGCTCTGGAAATTTTTAAATATTTACCTAATTTTCCACTTCTTCATAGCATTCAAAGAACGAGCTACCCTAAATATAAAATAATTTCAATCATAACGTTTTTATCTTAATAACAAAAACCTACAAAGTCAAACTACTTCACAAACTACGTACAAAGTCCATCTGAACATGTTCTTTTTAACTGCTGAACTTATGCCAGCCTTTATGATATAAGAACTGACCAGTCTTAATGAAGCAAGCATAAACTGACATTTTTGCTATGATTGAGTCAGCTGCACATATTAGTTATGAATGATTTGAGGCCTAAGTAGTAGCAGAGACAACAATAAGAATGGGTGAGATTTAAGTCACGGAAAAATAGAAATGAAGATATCATATTATGTAGATGTTGTTATTATGTATATAATAATATAATTATGTAGATATTGTTAATATTACTGTGTATTCTTATTAGAATGTAGGTTTCTTCTAAGAAATAATATTTTTATAGTTACCTGTATTTTATCCAAGACTACTTTTCATTTGTTATATTCTTATTGTAAGTGCATCCTTTGGAAATCGAAATGTTTCCATAATTTTTCTCGTCTCAATTTTCAGATGATAAATTTTGTAAAAAAAGGGGGAATAAATGAGGAAGTATGATATATATATATATATCACACCTTCAATATTTTTTCCCCTATGTGGAGAATTTTTTATAAGAAAACCCAATTTGAATCCAAGCAGTATCTAATAATATAAATACTGCACATCTTAAATAAATAAGCTGTCAGAATGCACTGCATATTTATAATAGTAAGTTAATAAAGTTTTTTGAATAGTAAATTAAAATAAATACTTCTTTCTTTGCAGTTAGTAAATTCAAAATTTGTTTTTACCCTGCTTTAAGAACATTAGTGGGTTTAAAATCTTTCACTGAGGCATTACAGTCTTGAGTTTTTATTCAAAATTTGCTAAGATGTACATGAATTTACATTTTGGTGCATTTTGAAGTTTGGCATCTCTGTTTTTAAGCAATAATAATGCCAAATGTGGTTTACATACTTTGTTAAACTTGTTCTAAAGAAGATCAATGCACTTTTTCTTCAGAAG